CAAGTGTTTTGCAGAATTGCAACTAAAGTGCAAAGCAGCGCTTTTGTTTAAGGTATGGTTAGACTTTGTTTAAGGTATAGTAACAACAACTTCAAGTTATGTTACTTTGGTTTAAGCATGTGTCTATAGTGTTCAAGCAATGGGTAAAAACTGTAATACGTATGAAGGAAAGTGGTGGTCAGCAGAAGGCAGGAGAGGCACAGGAGCAGGCAGCAGGGAGATGGCAGGATCAGGACGGTGTGCAGGACCGTGAGCAGGCAGCAGGAAGATGGCAGGATGAGGACAGCGCACAGGACCAAGAGGTGAGTTAGAAATTAGGCTGTACTTTAAGATCTACTGTATCATCAAGACAGATATTAGCCTAATAGGCAAATATTTATTTCTGAAGGCTGTTGGAGCTGGGGGGACTGAGAGGGCAGGAATAACACCAGACTGCTGGACCAGACCAGGCTGTTTGTAAATGTATAGGCTTATTACTTTTAATAATATACTTCTTCTAAGATAATTCCTGGGAGTTATCAAAACCAAATTCTTTTGGATAGGGATAAGGATAATGAGATCTTCTGTATTGATTCTCATTTTGCCGCATGTTCAGACCATGACTGTGTGTTGCATACATGTTAGTAAACACCCCTAGTGCATCTTGCACTCTTAACATTGATCCTGGTGGCGACTATTCGTATTGATGCGGTAGAGGACCATAATGGTCATAGAATTGTTATGAAGGCAGTACCCTCCAATTATGGAGGGGTAATTCGCACTCTGTCTAAACCTGATTAGTGTGTCTATAATTAAGCACCTAATTGTTTGTACACCTGGTGGTTTTGTTTAACCAAATGGTTCATGGGTGTGGATAATTCAAAACCAGTGCTTTGAAATGGACAAATGTGTTTAGTGATTTGCAAATCACTGTGTGTTGAGTTTTGGAAGAAGTGTGAAGCTGACAATGTGCTTAGTGTTGCGCAAATCTAGACCGATGTTTTGCTAACTGAGTGTAAAGTTATGCCAAATGTGGGAGACTTTTTCTTTTAGTGTTTAAGCAATCAGAAAAAAACTGTAATAAAGACTAAACAGCAAAACAATGTTATTTTTATATTTTATATTAACCAAAAAGTTATCCAGAGTTTGAAATTTTGTCCTCTCACTCTCATGATAAAATACATTCATATGTGATTACATATTTCTCAAAGTTTGTAGACTACAAAACAATATTTTTATGTCATGCTCTAGAATGACATACAGTATAAGGACAAAATTCTTTCAAGTTATGATTCTTATGAGGTTTTGCTAAGACTTGTAAACAACAGTTGTGTAATGTAATTCATTATCATCACTGTCCTCGCTGGCTTCACTGTGACACTTTGCCTTTTGCTTATCCATTACTATTTTACTGAGCAAGTCCTCATTGTAATCAGCTTCACTCTCAGTGGAATCATCAGGTGCCTCGACATTCACATAATCCTGAATTCCACAAAGCTTTGCCGGAAAAAGGCCACTCTTATCCTGGGACAGGTTCACATAGTCACCCTCAAGCCTGCCAGTCACCTAGAAAAAATAGAATTACTCTAGATTACTTATTATTTAATATCCAGCATTCTGAAGACTTGTTCTTGGTTTCGTCTTCTACTGTAGTACTGCTAAAATGCATTTGCCCACAAAGTGTCATGTGGCTTACTAAAGTAAAGTTACATTCTGTATACAGTCAAATACATTATGGAAGAAGATGAACGTCACATGCATGAGATGCAACATCCTCATTATTTCAAAACAGGAAATGACTAGAATCCCCTGACTGCACATGTGTCAGTGTCATGGATGCGGGCGGCTCGGGTATGGGAGCGAGGCATCGGGCACAAAAAGGGTGGACGACCCACTGGCGGCTCCGAGACAGATGGGGTTTTAATCAAAACAGAAGATACTACAAACACAAAACCAAAAGGACCACGCAGGGTCAAAGAACTAAAGGGGATAAATAAAGACTACAAATCACAAATAGACATAAACTGGGCAGGGAAACATAATACCGATCTAACCTCAAAAATATCTGAATACAATCACAATCAACAACAACACACAGACAACAATGAACCACTGAGGAACTAAACAGAAGCAGGAACTAAAATACTAAAGGGGTAACGAGACTAACACAGGACAGGTGAGACTGATTAACAAAGACCAGGGAAACGGGGTACAGGTGAAACTAATACTCAAAGGAACTAAACAGGGAAACTAATAACTAACCAAGGAAATAGAAACCAACACTAGGGAATTTAAACAGGTAAAGACACAAGCAGAGGGCACAAGGAACAAAACAAAAAAACATATACAAAATCACCAAATACAATAACTAGACAAACTCAACTGAAACACTAGGGAGCAAAATACAAAAACAGAGGAGGCAGGATTCAAACACAGGATAGAAAGGTACATAGACAACCACATGCTCAACACATTGAGCCACATGACCAGACAGGTAACAGGGGAGAACAAAGACTAACATAAAGAACGGGATGACCAGCAACACCTGCTGGTCAAACAGGGAAGAGACACGGAAGGACCACAGCAGGGGCTGACCCTGACAGTCAGTACTTAACCTACACCTGAAAGGCCAGAAATCAGATTTTATTCCAGAAAAAGTGTCTTTAAAGATATTTTTGTTGCTATTCATTAATGCTAATTGCATAAAGGAGAAATTTGTAATGAATGAGACCTTCCCTTTATTATGCTGTATTGTGTATGTATATAAGTGAATTATACAGTGGTACCTCGGTTCTCAAACTCACTAGAACTCGAATTTCTTTTAAGTCGAACAAACCAGAACTAGAACTCAATCTGAATAACAGAAGTCGAACCGTGAATGCTGACCTAATATAAATTGTACGTGCCAGGAAATGAGTCATACTACAATGCAATCCATACTTGAATGCCTTCTTCACAGACTGGACGATTAACCAAATAAAGCAGCGCAACATTACAGTAACTAACAATAAATAAACCACTAACTCAC